TTTCCCTTTTTAAAAATGGGGGTTATGTTCTACCACAAGTTGTTATGAACTGTCTTGCCTGTGGCAGAGGCTAAGGGGTGATTCAGTTGCAGCTCACAAATACTTGAATTACAAAGGTGCTGGGGTTGGTCTCTTGTCAGCACTCTCAGATGACATAACAAGAAGCAACAGCCACAGCTACATACTGCAGCTTGGGAGGTTGAAGTTGGGTGTTCAGAAGAGTCCTTCCTTTCCTTACCCAGTAGAGCACAGGATCTGTCCCCCTTTGTATCCTTAGGTGGGGTTAACAGGACAGAAAGAAAAGAGTGATGGAGTGTACTAAGCTCAAGAAAGGACCACTGACCTGGCATTCTCGATAGGTTCTACAAGAAACTCACTATCAATTTCTGTTACAAAAACAAACAATATGCATTTTCTCCCCAAAAGAAGCATGCATCTTTACATGTTGCAAGACTGATGTACACAATGCTGTATTTGGCTAGTGAAACAACAGAGAATAAAAACTAAAACACCGCACAGAGTATAACGATACAGAGCAGGGGAAAAAAGCGAGCCCCAACACTCAAAAAAGCATGGTTTCGTACCTTGAGGGGGTTCATTAGTAAATTTGATAGAGGACTGTAAAAGATTAATGGGAAAGTCTGGGTGAGCCTCTGTAGTGATCCAGGTCCTGAAACCTTCACTCATAGATTCTGTTGTTGTGATGGTGTCCATTAATTCACTAAGAAACTCCAAGCCAAGGTGGCAGTTCTGTAGAAGGAGCCATCCTCCATCTTGCATGCATTGATTTAACAGGCGCCTTGCATGGACTTCCTGGCCCTGACCCATTGAAATGGCATAACAGGGAATGTTCTGGAAGGAAAAAATAAAGTTTCTTTTATATATAGTCCTTTAGAATGTTCATACACATGACATATTGCTTCTGTAGGTCCATGTATAGCAACATTGTGCCACAAAGAAAACCACTAATATCAATGGAGACTGATTATACTAAAACAGAGTAAACAAAAAAGCAAAACCCTCCAAGTTGCTCTTCCACCTGCTGAAAGAAAACTACACTCACTGGACCTAATCTTTTATTTGCAGGTTTGACAAAGTCAATGGGGTAAGACAACTGAAACATTTTCCCTTCCTTTTCCCCACTCTTCCAAATAAAGCAAGACATACACACAGCAATGTAGCTGCCCCTATTCTTTTCCCTATGTGGACTATCTTGAGATGGACAGATATTAAGGGTCCACATAATAATTAGTGTACAGAGTAAAGCCAACAATTTTGTTGTCTTTTTACTGTCTGAACATATTTATTTCATCTAATAGAGAACTGTCAAGGAAGCAGGCAAGACACAAAAGATTGGTTCACATTAAGTCATTCCTTAGCAAATAGCCTCTATTGTTAATTGGCAGCTGTGGAGCCACCAATTCAGAGAGTCCTAGTTTGGTGATCTACTAGCTCTAGCTAGTTGTCTAGTGGTTAGTTTTCTGGATTCAGAAGAGTCAAAGCTCAGAAATGCAAACACAAGAATTCTGGAAATTTATGGAGTTTTTCCTCCAGAGTCCATGGGAGAAGAAAGCCAGTTGTTCTGAAAAACAGAAGATGATACAAGGGGATTTTAAAAAAAACTCATCTGACTAGGTTGTGATCAGGTTCATACAAGCCTGTAAGTAACATGCAGGCAGACCCCCTCTTGCTTATTTTTCCTACTACCCTTGTTCTTATTAAGTAGTCCCCTGGCTTAGGTTGGCTGCCTGACTCCTACCAGGGAAAACCAGAATTATCAAACCCAATTGAGCATATTATTCTATATAAACGTTGAAGGCAAGACTTAGTTTCATGGACAATTTCATGTTCAAGATCTACAGTTGATCATCCCTCATGCTGTGAGCGATGAGCTGCACAAAGACTTAGCAATCTGAGTATATCTTCAGCTAGCTGAGAGCTACAAAGGTTAATCTTAAGATTTCCTGCTACTGGGACTCTCTCAATGAAATAAAAAAGAAGGAAGTTATCCAGTCCTAAACAGTGTGGATGAGGCTGCCCTACTTTTGCAGGAGAAAAAGTTTAAGCATATGGACACAAGTTGTGCTGGGTCATTTGGCCTTAGGGTCAGAGAACAGGCCCTGATCTGATTTTACTGAACAGTATAAATACAGCTGCTGTATATGACCCTCCACATCCTGGCAAAAGATTTAAGGAGAAAAGAATGCCAAAGGTAAGAAAGCAGTTAAATCCTGCTCTCAGGTCAGTAACGCCTGAAATTGCAGCTAAAATAAGCAAAGCTAAATAGCCTGTGAAGTTGGCTATGTGCTGGAGGAGCAAAAACTTTACCTTTTCTAAGATGTATCTGAGTACAGTTAGCACTCCCATAAGTCAAAGACTATGACTACCCCTGCAGAGTGCATAAATATTCAGCTGGTACATTATTCCCTAACAAAGCATCTGCTCATAATTTGCTCTTCTCAGCAATATTACCTCTCAAATGTACAATCATTAAATGTTATAGAAACATCAAGGCAAGGAAAAAATATTTTTCACTGTGGACTGTCCTCATTTATTCCTTCTGAAAGAGCTCTATCAAAATGCCAGTCTACAGAATGCTTCCTTCAATAGTGAGTCATACCAATATATTTGTGTCATCTTAATACATCACTATCCAGATGAAAATACTGTCATTTTAGTCACTACAGTGGCCCTGACAGTTCTATTGGTAGTTCTGTGCATCATTCCCTGAAAGAAGAAACTACCTCTACAAGAATAAAAATATCTGGTTTTAATGAAGTCAAAGTGCTATGCATAATGAACTTCATTTCAATTCAGGAAGTTAAATTTTCACTTGAACTTCAAATGAAAGTAAAGGGGGTAGAAATCCAACTAGTTTTAAGATAGAACTTGCTTAGTTTATAAACAAGTTTATATAGCTCTGTAGTCAGAGATAATATTTCAAATTTTTTGGGAGAAGGTCATCTGAACAACTAAATTTTAGAGTTAAATAAAATAAATAAAAAATAAATTCTGGTCACAAATTTGAACATTTCCAATGGCAGATAATTGTACAATTTCTTGACAAACTAGTAAAATAAATACAAAGTCCTTTTACAAATGTTTCTGAAAACTGTAAATGATTTCTAGATACTTTTTTTTTTCAAAAACTATAGAACTACTGAAGTGCTCCTCCAGCCCCACAATATTAATATACATTTTCACTTAAAAAAAGAGGGTTTTTTGCTTGTAGTTTGGTTTGCAGAATCTGGATGGCTTTTGTAAATTTGAAAGGTTTCTACATGCTGTGTGGTAAGACCTTTACTTCAAGAGGTCATACAAGAACTTTACAGTTGAACATTACAGTTAATTTTACATTTACAGTTGACATTACAATTGAACTGCGGGTTATGACAGCCTATCTGATGTTGCCTTGTTCATAAACCATTTGTGAATAAACAAAGCAATCCCTTTAGCTCTTTTCCAACCTCACTTTCTATTTTTCTATACATTTCCTTAAAGCATGAAAACATATTAAAACTTCCCACTGATCTTTCGATGTCCCTTCCAACCCCTAACATTCTGTGATTCTGTGATTCTGTGATTCTGTGAATATACTTTCAGAATGACAGCAAAACCTGCTGTCTTTTAACAGTCACAATTATATCTAAACTTTCTAATTAATAAGCTAAAGAGATTTGTGGGTGCTTCTCTCTTTTGCAAGTCTTAGTGCATACCAAAATTCTGCACCTCTAAATAAAGATGCATTGTAACAGGGAGGAAAATTTATGTAGATCTGCTTTGAATAACTTCTTCATGGGAAAATTATATTTGCATCTACATTGTGAACCACAAAACAGGAAGCACAGAGTGCCTTAAAGTGATACTATGCTGTAAGAAATGTTGAACACCTCCACCAAGTGAACTGATTGAATGGTGGTATCTTAAAATTAATTTCTCTTGTCACCATATTTATGATTTTTTTTTCTGTATTTTCCTATAATCGTTATTACTGTCAGCTCCTACAGTGAATGCGGCACGGTGTAAACCACATATATTGCTTTGTTCTCTCTAAGTAATGGATTATCATAGTCTGCTGGATAAAGACAGAGGGCTCATTGGAATCAAACAACTGGAAAAGTAAGAATGTAACACTTCCATTTCCTCAGTAAACGCATTTTGGCTACTGGTCCAAAATTAACTTCCAGAGAACACAGGTATCAACATAAATATCATAATTCGAACTTTTATAGAATGTGGAAATACCATCTCTAGTTCAAAGGATGGTTTTAAATGTCTTTATCAGCTCTAGCAAACTCAGTTTAGGAGGATACCTTTGATTTTGCAAGACGTTCTATATTTTCAGTGGGGTCAGACCCCACTGACAAAAAGCATGTCAAAGGTGTTCGACAGTCACTTTCTGTCCACATGGCTTCCATTTCAAGAATAAATCCTTCTGCATATTTCCCCCCAAGAGATTCTGCAATGTAGTGTCGAGCCTAAAAAAAAGAAATTACTAGAAATACGTAACTTTATTTTTTTTATTTATCATTTATCACTAATGTGGAATTTACCAACACCTACATTGGAAGGTAATGACTTTCAAAACTTTAATTTTCAACTTTGGTGTAACAAATGCTACAGTCCACAGGAGGCAACCATTGACATTCTCAGATAGCAAACTTCAAAGAAAAGAAATAATTCTGTTCGCACAATAGCCATACTGTGAACATTGTTGCCAGAGGATGCTAAATGGGGTTTTTTTTAAAGAACTAAAGAAATCTATGCAGAATAGATCCACTGTCAGCTCTGAGGACAGCCCAGATATTGCCTCTAATTACTGGCTGCTAAAGCTTGATGGATAGCCAAACAAAAGAGCTGCTCTATACCAGCCCCATTCTTAGCTCCTCTAGGCATGTGTGGTTGACACTGTCTCTTACAGCATAGCAGATTAGACAGATCTTTCATCTGACCCAGTTACAATCTTCCATATATTTGTTGGAACTTCAAACAAATTCTCCTGTCCAGCAGTTATCCAATTCAAGTTTCTTACACTGAATATCTATTTCTGCAAAACACAAACACAGCTGAGACTTTATCCTTAAAGGTCAAACCTTTCCTTTGTCTCTATTGTCCTTTTTTTCACAGGCATTTTCTAAAAGGACTTCTAAAGCTATCCTGGTGTATGAAACGCTTTTTTGACTGTAAGTAAACAGTTTCTCTGCTATTTTAGTGCACCTGTCATCAAAGTGAACTATTCTCTTTCCACTTCTTCTGTGAAAAAATTCCACTTCTGATTCGCCAGAAGAATGCAACTGCTTTACAAGTTTCATGACTCCAATTTAGAAGTGCCACACAAAAAGAATATGTATTCTTATGGCTCCAACACTATTTATTTCATGCTTTGCAATGTCCTTTCTAATTCATTGCAACTAAATAAATTAAAATTTCTTTCACATATATTTATTATCAGGATTTCAATATCTGATTTTCAAAATAGCTCACTCTGCAACAAATAGCAGGAAAACAAATTCAGAGAACGTAAGTTTGGAACTAGCAGTTCTATGGGAGATGCCACATGACATAACCATTGTACAAAAGCACATCTTACTTGGGCAACAGTATGATCAGGGCACCAGCTACGGACAAGGAGCAGTTTACGGAATTGGTCCAGTAAGCTGTCATACCCATCAGGAATAACAGCTTTTTCAGGTGCTTCTTCATCAAACCAAGCTTTCCAAGACTTCTCATTCCTAACAACTTGCACCAGAAGTTGATTAAAAGGGTACAAGCTGGATAACTGCACAAGATTGAGCCATGTCATGTCAAGGATCCATTTTTTTGGCTTTGGTTGCACAGAATTCAGATCCAAACTGGCACCTCCTGCAAAGTGAAAAGTATTATCGAGGAAAACAACCATTGTTAAAATGACAACTAATAAAAAGTATTTATTTCTATAATTTAGGGAGTTTAAATCTTTGTAAACCGTGACACATAGACATAGAATTTGCATTGAAGAGTCAATTAACAAGATCTACTGGGGAAGTGGTCTCAGTGCCTCCCAAAGCTGATATCCCAGTAATTTTTGTGCTGCTTTTTTTCTCCATCTGTAGAGCTGAAATAAACTTGTCTGCCTAAAAGGATACTCGAACTCAAGTCTTCAGACCAGATACAGAAAGGACCCATGGTTATTCCAATCTCTGTTCACCTAGACTACCAAATAAGAAAGCACATGGTGCATCCATTTCCAGGGCTGTCTAACTTCAACAGCCTCTTAGCTTAACCACCAGTCCAGCGTCATGCCCATTTGCAACTCCAGAACAGCTGAGTCACAGCTGAGCATTAACTCCTTGTTTGCAAAGCAAACTAGACTATTTGGATGGTAAGTACCTGACTCATCTTATCCTGGTACCTGATTTTACTTATCATATCTTGGACAGTGGGGTCCACCCCCATAAAATTTTGTAAACTTTACTAAAATTGTTCTTTGTCTGTGTGTCTGAGTATTGACATGCAGTGATGGCACAATGCAATGCAATATAACAACGTTTCACAACATGGAACAGATTTCCACTTTTTTTATACTGACACTTAAATGTGGCACAAAGTCCTCCTGCATTCACATGCCTGCTCACCAGCTATCAAAAGAGATGTTGCTGACTGTCTCCAAGTTCACAGACATAGGTATGTGGCAACTCAAAAAAGAGGCACACAGGAGAAAACTGTAGAGTCTCTAACAAAGTAATGGACTTTATTTTTCTGTTTTGCAATGTAAAACAGTTAAATATCCTAATCTAAGCACTATTTTGATAATAAATAAACTATATTGCTCTTGTTTTGGAAAATCTGTCTCGGAATACCTTCTTGGGTTATATAAGCTTTCATTCACCAGTTAAAAAACATTAGATCCACTGAATACAACAGATTGTTAGTGCAAGCACTGCAAAATTTGGCAGTTCACAGACATATGTAAACAGGAACATTTTTAGAGAAATTACCTTTGATCAGTGTCTCAAACTCAGCATGTGAAATTTTCTTGGCCTGCAAGTCAATCTTCAGTGCCAGAAGCAACGTAAACAGAAATCTGTGATTTTCATACAGCCCTCGAACTGTGTACTTGAAGACTTCATAGGTGAGATGCTCGATTACATAAACTACCCTTTTTGCTGTGATCTGAGATTTCTGAGATCTTTCCACTGATAGGTCAAAAATGCCAAGGTACTGCCGTAAGGATGTTTGGTACATGACATTAACCAAGCTCATTTCCACAATTAGGAAATAAAGGATGCTACCACGACCAGCAACAGGACGATACTCTTCACGTGCAGTATTGATTTTCACCTCTGTCTCCGCTGCTATGTTTAATTTTTCACTGACCTTAAAATTAATGGAAAAGACCACAAAGATTAAGTCATGTTAGTTGTGGTTTATACTGCACAAGCAAAATGAAAAGGTCCTGATTGAGATCACAATGGTATTTTTAGTCAAGCTTCGCTTCCCTCTGTCAGTGTTTCAACACAGACATTGTGTCTTCATGTGTTCAAACACCAAGCACAAAAAAATTATACTGTTTCTAGTATTTATTTGTTAAGAAGTCAGATGTTATATAACAGCTCTGAATGGAAAAAACAAAAACAGAAATAAAATCTGTCTACAAATAATTTTAAAATTACAATTACGAAATGTATCTTCAATGCATTCAAAATTCACCTCTTCTGCTGTTGTTTTAGTGATTCTTAGGACTTCTACCAGAGACTCATCTTCAACCAAAGAGCCCTCTGTACTTGTTAGACGAAGGAGCAGATTATCTTCAAGCTCCTGCATTTTCCTCTTGTTAGATGTCACTTCTTCCATCAGTTTAACTCTTTCTGCCTCCAGTTCCTGTATTCAGAAATTTTCCTTAGAATATTTAAGATTATTTCAAAGGATGATTACTTATAATGACACAGAAAAACGTTACTTCATGCATGATAGATCAGAGGATTTACTGCTTTTTCTATAAAATATAGAAATATTACATACTATTATATACTTATACTATAATTCATATGTATACTGCATTTATTTGATTAATGTAGCATACTGAGGAGTGAAAACACACCAGAATTACCAGGAAAAGCTTCCTCATAGTAAGATGCATAAAGCGCTAAAGGTAGTTTCCAATGGGAAGTGATAAAAGCCACATTACATTAAGTACTTAAAGCAGACAAACTACTGAAAGATGTATTCTATGGATGGATTTTACATTGTTAGGGAAGTTGACTGGATTATCTTTTCCATTTCTAATTTCTATGATTCTGTGACTTATACACTCCTCTACTGCTTACAAAATAGGAAATGTTACAATTATTATCTCTATCATATGAAATTTTTATGCTATTTCTATAAAACAGACAACGGCAAGGGAAAAATGACAAAGTCAACACAATGCCGAGTGAAATGAGGCATCCATACTACACACTCCAACACAGCTCAGGGATACCCTTGCTGGCTACCTTTATTTAATCAATCAAGTCAAGCTTCCTCTAAGAAAAGCATAGTTAATAATACCAGTCTACCTACACCGTGACTTAAATTTATTTTCATTCTTGTCAACATGCCAAATTAGAGAAAAAGGAGATGCACAGAGCTACGCAGTACAAGAGAGGCTCCCTGTATTTCAGAGACCAAGTGACACATTTCTTTACTCTCACAAACCTCTTATATGGAAACCTGTTTGTAATATATTCTAGAATGTAGCTCTATGGAAACTACAAATATCTGCATCCCAAAAAAGAATGACTTAAGCATCAGTCATTCATCTTAAAATTTTCTGCATTTTCATAGAATCAGTGAATCATAGAATGCATTTGGGTGGAAGGGACCTTCAAAGGTCATCTAGTCCAACCCCCCTGCAGTGAGCAGGGACATCTTTACTAGACCAGGTTGCTCAGAGCCTCATCAAGCCTGACCTTGAATACCTCCAGGGATGGGGCCTCCACTGCCTCTCTGGGCAACCTGTTCCAATGATCTATTGAAGAACTTTTTCCTAATATCCAACCTAAATATACCCTTTTCTAGTTTAAAACCATTACCCCTTGTCCTATTGCTACCTGCCCTTGTGAACAGTTCTTCCCCAGCTTTCTTACAGGCACCTTTCAGGTACTGGAAGGCTGCTTTAAGGTCCCCCCTGAGCCTTCTCTTCTCCAGGCTGAACAACCCCAACTCTCTCAGCCTCTCTTCATAGGAGACATGCTCCAGCCTTTTGATTATTTTTGTGGCCCTCCTCTGGACACACTCCAACAGGTACATGTCCTTCTTGTTTTGAGGTCTCCAAAACTGGACGCAGTATTCCAGGTGAGGTCTCACTAGATCAAAGTGGAGGGGCAGAATCACCTCTCTCTACTCGCTGGCCACACTTCTTTCGATGCAGCCCAGGATATGGTTGGCTTTCTGGGCTGCAGATGCACATCTGTGGCTCATGTCCAGCTTTTTATTCACTACTACGCCCAAGTCCTTTTCCTCAGGGCTGCTTTCCAGCACATCATCTCCTAGCCTGTATCGATAATAAGGATTGTTCTGTCCCAGGTAAAGAACCCTGCACTTGGCCTTGTTGAACCTCATGACGTTCACCTGGGCCCACTTCTCCAGCCTGTCCAGGTCCCTCTGGATAGCATCCCATCCCAGCTTTCTTTACCATTAACACAAAAACGATTAGAATTACACAAAAGGAGTAGTTCTACAGAATACTCAAACATGCATTTAAGTACATGCTTAAATTCTGCTTAAGGACATGCTTGGTTTAATAACAGGATCCTCACCCATTCTATTTGTAAGCCTGTAAAGTGTATCTTTCAGAAAATTAGCAAATATACCAGATGCCAGGCTTCTATTTGCAAGAGGATTTCACAACCACATTTGTAACATAAAAAATAGCTGTTCTGAAGACAAATAGTGGCAGCAACTTCATTATCAAAGTACAAAAAGATGTTGATAATTTTTTTTTCCATATAGTTCATATAGTAGAGCAACAAAAGGAGGACTAAGGAGAATCTCCATCTTTTATTGGATGCAGGGGGAAAGACAGTGACAAAGTATGAGGGAAAGTCTGAGGTACTTAATGCCTTCTTTGCCTTAGTCTTTAGTAGTAAGACCAGTTGTTGTCTGGACACCCAGCCCCCTGAGCTGGAAGACAGGGACAGGGAGCAGAATGAAGAACCCATAATCCAAGGGGAAATGGTCAGGGACCTGCTACACCACTTAGACACACACAAATCTATGGGGAAAGATGGGATCCACCCAAGGGCACTGAGGGAGCTGGCAGAAGTGCTTACCAAGCACTTTTAATCATTTATCAGCAGTCCTGGCTAACTGGAGAGGCCCCAGTGGACTGGAAGTTAGCAAAAATGACACCCATCTACAAGAAGGGTCGGAAAGAGGATCCAGGGAACTACAGGCCTGTCAGTCTGACCTCAGTGCTGGGTAAGGTTATAGAGCAGATCATCTTGAGTGCTATCACACAGCGCATACAGGCCACAACCATGCAATCAGGCCCAGTCAGCATGAGTTTATGAAAGGTAGGTCCTGCTTGACTAATCTCCTTCTATGACAAGGTGACCCACTTAGTGGATGAGGGAAAGGTTGTGGATGTGGTGTACCTAGACTTTAGTAAAGCCTTGGACACCATTTCCCACAGCATTCTCCTGCAGAAACTGTCTGCCCATGGCTTGGATGGGCATCCTCTTTGCTGGGTAAAAAACTAGTTGGATGGCTGAGCCCAAAGAGTTGTGGTGGATGGAGTTAAATCCAGTTGGTAGCCAGTTATGAGCAGTGTTCCCCAGGACTCAGTATTGGGGACAGCTCTGTTTAATGTCTTTATCAATGATCTGGATGAAGGGATCGAGTGCACCCTCAGTAAATCTGCAGACAACACCAAGCTGGGTGGGAGTGTTGAACTGCTGGAGGTTAGGAAGGCTCTACAGAGGGACTGATGGACTTGGGTATGAGGTTCAACAAGGCTAAGTGCTGGGTCACCCCATGCAATGCTACAGGCTTGGGGAAGAGGGGCTCTGGAAAGCTGCCCATCAGAAAAGGACTTGGGTGTATTGGTCAACAGCCGTCTGAACATGAGCCAGCAGTGTGCCCAGGTGGCCAAGAAGGCCAACAGCATCCTGGCCTGTATCAGAAATAGTGTGGCCAGCAGGACCAGGGAAGTGATTTTGCCCCTGTACTCAGCACTGGTGAGGCCACACCTTGAGTACTGTGTTCAGTTTTGGGCCCCTCACCACAAGAAAGACATTGAGTTGCTGGAGTGTGTGAAAAGCAGCATAATAAAGTTGGTGAAGGGTCTAGACCACAAATCTTACAAGAAGTGTCTGAGGGAAATGGGGTTGTTCAGTCTGTAGAAAAGGAGACTGAGGGGACACCTTATCACTCCCTACAACTAGCTAGTAGGAGGTTGTAGCAAGGTGGGTGTTGGTCTCTCCTTCCAGGTAACAAATGACAGGACAAGAAGAAATGACCTCCAGTTGCACCAGGGGAGGTTTAGGTTGAATATTAGGAAAAATTTATTCACCGAAAGGGTTTTCAAGCATTGGAACAGGCTGCTCAGGGAAGTGCTGGAGTCACCATCCCTGGAGGTATTTAAAAGAAACGTAGATGTGGTGCTTAGGGACATGGTTTAGTGTCAGACTTGGCAGTGCTAGGTTAACAGTTAGACTTGATGATCTTAAAGGTCTTTTCCAACCAAAACAATTCTATGATTCCATGATTCTATAAAGGAGCAACCTTTAAAGCTGAGAAGAATAAACACTTCTTTGCTCACGTATTTCATTGATCACTATAGTGATCTTTAGAATGTCTTCGTTCCTTTAATCTACTACTTTAGCTCAGTGATAACAAACTTGTCTTCTTGCTTGTAATAGAAAACCTGTTCTTCAGATTCTCTATTCATGTTCTCTCTTTGAACTAAATTAATCAGATCTCCATTGGCTTTGGCTATCTAGACCAGGACATTCATCTTTTATTGAGACAGAAGAGACAGAACAACCATGATTTCTTCATATCTGCTAAAGGGAAGTTCAGTAAATGTTGATCACCTGCAACCACGTCCTTGGACAGCAAGTAGTGTTGATACTAACCAACTACCCTTGTAGCTCTCTTCAGCTGATACACAACACTGGATGAATACTTTTCAGTGGCTAGACACAAAATGCAGTCTAGGTGTTGCTACATACATTCAATATGAATTCTCTAACAGTTTTGTCCAGGAAAAAAACACAGAGCAAGGCTATCTGAGTGTGGGGAGATGAAATTTATATGTAGGTCATGAGAATCCAATTTCACTTGGTTTAAACCTTTGTCTCCCATCAGATGTAAGTTAGTCAGGATAGTCCCAGACGCTCCTGCTGATGTTGTTTGATTTTGCCTACATAAACATACATCTACTGGATTAAAAGTTTTGAATCCCTAGCATTTGTCCCACTCTGCTAACGGATAGCTTTTCCTCAATACCTGCTATTGTAGCTTTTCAATTTTTCATTTAACAATTCACAGGAAGTTTAGGTATAACAATAACTTCCCAGCCTTTTGTTGTGACTGTCAGACTGAAGGAAGGGCACTTATATTCCAGTCCTTACTTCAGCAAATGCTTGTTTGACCAAAGTGGAAAGGTGTTGGCTGGAGAAAGTGAAAGCACCGCTAAAATACATTGGTTAGAACATGCTTTGGGAAGTCAAAGATGGAGGAATGAATTCCCTTAGGTAGGGAACCACTTTCACATGAGTAAGACTATCTGAGTTACTTACTGAAATCCAAACCTTAATTTTTGTTACTTTTTTCACACAGACATAATTATGAAATATTCTCTTTGCAATAAATAAATCATTCAATTTGATGTGAATTACAACTTCGGTGCTTTCACTTTAATAAGAAAGGAAGAAAATATTTCATTTTAGTGTAATTGTACCATAACATTCATATGTTTATTGGTATGACTGCCACAGTAAAAAATTCACCTTTGTCCCCAGTGCCTCTGATGAATTGAATCCCAAGTTTTTGGATAACCAGGCTGTTAAATTAGATCACACAAAAAGAAATAGGAATGATCTAGGAATTAAATTATTGTCGATGAGGTCTCAGAATTGATAGTATGAAATAAAACTCCTGAAAAACACCTGAGAGAGGATTTTCTTCCTTATACTTGCTTCCATATAATCAATGGAAATTTTAGTAAGAGCAGAGTCAAGTCGGTGTTCAGGGCTCCTTAAAAATCTCTCATCTCCTTGCACTAGAGCCTAGCTGGCAAAAGTATTTCGAGTTCATAAGCATTTTTTCATGTAATTCAAATTAAGTTTAATTTTAAAAAGAAATTCAGGAATAAAAGAGGTTTCTCACTGAACAAGGAGCCTTTGCTATATATGAAGGAATAAAGATGCTTTATGTATGTCATGTATATGCCTGTGATGTATTTTTAATGAATAATTTTCTTTCTTCTCTTTCCAAAGCTAGATCTTAAAATAAATGTTTAGGTCCCTCCATTCAATTAAAAACCAGATCCACATGGTCTTTCAGTAAATGCACAAATCCCTAAACATTCATTCACATTTTTGTTCTTGCATTTGATTTCAGCCAAGACATTTAATATATCCACTTACGGTGCAGATATTGAACAAGCCTTCCCTCTATATAAATATTGTAAGCTACTAGATACCTGTTTTTCTGTGAGGATGACACGGCCAAGGAGTTGATCTTCCAGCCCTTTCACAGTAACAGTGAAGTCAATCACAGTTGTTCTTGCACTAATTTCTGGAGTATAGGCAGGATTAGCCAATTTTGTTGTAATGTAAAGTGTAAACCCCTTAATCAGATCTACCTCCTTGTCACCTACTTTCACCTGAAAATAAAATATATTACTCAGTTTTCAAAAGTTGAATTCAGAAAAACAGTTATTTTACCCAGTGAAAAATAAATTAACCCTTTTTTTACATTTTCATTTACACTTTTTAAACTTTCTGCTTAAGTGCTAAGAAAAATCCAGCCCCATGATTTCACCACTTATCTTTCTAAGTGCTGCAAAGGTGTGAATCTTGGCATTACCCAACTACCAGATACCCGGCATCTGTCCTTTTTTTTTTTTTTTTTATTTTCACGTTCAGAATTTGTCTTACTTTGTGTGCTGAACCAGATTTTATGAAATTTTTTTCTAAGATGTTATCTAGAACAGGATCAAGTTCTTCTCCAACATCTTCAATTAACAGAGGTCGGCCAAGGGACAGACAATCTTCTATATGACTTCTGAAGAACTTGTGGTTCATAGCTGTAACCTAGGAAGATCGGTTCACAATATAGCATGTATTTGCAAGTACATGGAAAACAGTATAAAATCTATTGCAATTTTCAAAAATTAAACTAATTCTTGGTATCTATACAAATGATTACACTTTAGGGGCCAATACTGGCCTCTGCTGAAATAAATAGAAGTTTTGCTTTAAGCAAAGAATAGGAGATCACACTTTTTTATTGTTATTTATTTATTTACTTATCTACATATCTACCTAACCACTGTAGTATGTTAATACCTTTTAAATATTAATAGATTTATGCTCAGATGACTAATATGAAGTAGGGAAATATTTATAGGGTTCAGACAGGGAACCACTGTTACATAGGAGGCCTTGTCTCACATCAGATACTTAATTTCCAATTCAGTTCCCATTTCACAATCTAAAGTCTTAAAATTGTTGAAAATCACATAGACTCTGTTTCATTTATTCAAATTTAAATTTCATGTAGGTCTTTGAGATGATAATTGAATAGCCTTTCCAGACATCTGTTAAGCCATGGTTTTGGGGTGGGTTTTCTTACCAGAAAAACCCCTAGAATAGACATGTTTTTAAAATAAATTGTCTTTCAGGCAGTTATCTTTGAAAAAAGTTATTATTAAAATATCTAAAGGCATATTGCACAGTCTGAAAACAGTATATTATTTAAAAACTAATATTATGTTCCACCACTCCACACTTTTAGCTTTGTTATAATGTAAGCATTTGTGTATCCACCAAAACAGCAGGTTGCCTACATTTTTAGTCTACATGAAACTGAGAAATGAAGTTAGTGCCTTACTGACCAACAATATAACCCTAAAAAGATCATAGAAAATGACAATATCCCAGATTTAAAGGCATAATCTAAACACTTTGGTATTTAGAGTCTTGACATAAGTCTGTTCCTCCTGGATTTACAAGGGGAGAACCCAGAGTATTCTAACACAGCCGACACCTGAGCCAGGATGTCTAAAAGCCCTGACTGAAATTTCATCAGGAAAGTTTCCTCTGCATTTAGAGGCTGCATCTGTGTGTATTCAAAACCGCGTAAGTTTTGAGACTACTTAGCAGCTCAGTAGTTAAGCCCCATCAGGATTCACAAATTTCATAGGCTGGATATTCACATATACTGACCACAAGGCAAGCCTGGTAGACATTCTTCTCTGCCTCATCAGTCAAATGCTATCATCACTTAGAGGGTATAAACAGTGGGGAAAGAGGAAACGGTATTTTAACCTACATGTCCCAGTCCCTGCTTTGGTGAGTACATGGTATAAGATCCTTATGCAATTACTGGACCAGGGAATGGAACCTGTGTGTTTGCAGTCCCCTTCTGCAGGCTGCGTGCTGGCACCTGGAGGGCAGGCAATACAGACTCAGTGCCAATTAAGGAATGGAACCGAAATTGCAGCTTGGAGGACACTTTATGTGGGAAAAGGCTACAGCATGGCAGAAAGAGTCAGTTTAGGTCTCTAACTGAAGGAAATTCACTGTTGCCACTCTTGAGCTCAGCTTGGCAGCTCTTTGAAATCCTGAATAGGAGATGCAAGTCTCTGTTGTTTCCTGTTGGTTACTCACAGTAGTTTTTCTTGATCCAATTTGTGGGGACCAAAGTAAGGACTGATGAAATTTAAAGGAAGCCATGTTATCTACTGTAAGACAGTAGATTTCACACAGTGACAAAATGCCTAAATTCCTCTGTGAATACAACTCATATGTTTTAGGAGAGCTTTTCATCATGTTTTTAATCAAGGCATCCATTTTTCTAAGATCTTCGAATGTTGTACATTATTTTTCTGTCTCTTCTCAGTCAATGCTTAACATTTCTAGCTGTGTTTCTACACCATTTTTTGAGCACATTCATCTTACCAGAAACTGGTTTTGGTGTGGGATTGAATGCTGGGCCTTTCTTAACAGTGCTAGGAAATACAGATCTAGGTCAAGCTCCAGAAAGTTAAGCGTTTAGCTAATGACATCACCATGATGTCATCAGCTCTCTGGATGTCACCATCCTTACCTTCATTCTCACTTTCTTTTTCTTATCCATCACTCTTATTTTGAGTGAAGATAGTATACCATGGTATTCATGTGATAATCAATAGTTGTACAATAGATTTGACTTATTAACAAGTAACTCTTTAGTATCATGCTCAGTCTGTCCTGAAAATATACCATGTGTTGAGATCTTTATCATAACCCATCTTATCCTTACTGGTGATACAAAGCATGGAGGGTAGGCTGATTACAAGGGGGAAAAAAAAAAGAAAGTCTTGAATTAAATAGAAGACCCAGATCCCAAACAGGATGCACTGCTAAATAGAGAGTGAGAAGACTGGATAAATTAAGCAATAAATCTTTTTATCACATGCATTTAATCATCAGGGTGCAGCCTAAATTTGGACTTTGCATTTGATATGCCTCAAATATCACTAGATTTGCCTTCAACCTCAGGTCACCAGTCTTTTACCAGTTCCTCCATTTTTTTTGTGCCCTATTTTCCTCTTAAAATGCTTACCTAAAATGTTATTGCCATACAGCACCACCTACCTCATCCTGTCTGGTCTTAATTTTGCAAGTCAGTTACTTCCCTTTATGCTTCTCTTTATCTATGACAAGTAATTAAAAGATTCATCATAAAAATACATATGGCATAACATATAATTCCAACTTTCTCTTGAAACTGTCTTTCTGGGAGATGACAAAGCAGTATAAGCTATTTCACCCTGATACAGACAGGACACAGATTTCGCGCCATCTTGTTTTAATTTCTGCCCAAGTGTATACAATTAACATCAGATTTCAATGGCCAAAGTATGATGACAGAAAAAAATAGTTTGCATTGCTAACTATGATGTGAAATGACACACACATTAAAAAATATTAAATGAACTATTTACCTGGAGTCCATTATTCTTTTCCTTATTTTTAATCCAGATCTTTCCTTGACCTTGTGGATCAATCAGCAAAGGATACCTAGATGCTTTTGTGACAATGATGCCATTCTGAATTGAAAGATCATCATTCGGAAGACCCTGGAGGTTCCATTCACTCACTGTAGCATTGTCCACAAGTATACCAGTAAGGTTCATTTCCTAATAGAAAATACGTTATTACAAAATTAGTACCAGTTACAGTAGTTATACTAAAATGTTTGGTGGAAGGTTTTTCTTCTTATTCTGATCATAATGCACGATAGAATGTATTTCATAGTTACTGTTTATTGTTTCCTTTCTTTAAAGTTCAGTGCCTAAATAATTGAAGTTAGGCAATAATGAAAGTGAACTCAGTTGAGGCTTTGATGTCCATCAAAGAGTGTCAGAGAAACTCTGAAGCCAGTTCAATATCTAATGACAAGCTGATTTTGGTATCAGCAAACTCTTCTCTTGCTAGTTCAGGAGGAAGGGTTGTCTTAGTCACAAGAGCTTCCTCCTGCTGTAAAGCTGTAAAGTCCCCTCCAAATATGTATATGAATACAGGATGGCTTGTGGGAGACTTAGAGAAGAAAGAGGAGATGTACTATGGATCAAAAACCATGAATTATCATGGAAAGTTATTGTTGCTATGGTCAGAACTCTTCCCAGCTCATATATTCTCCTAAAGTTTGATTTGCACACATCGACCAACCTGCTTTATTTTATTCACTATGAACAGTGACTGGGCCTCGCAAGAATGTGTATGTGGAGAAAACAGCGCCTAAAATTACAAACCAAGATCTCCAAATTAGCAAAGTAGTTTAACAATGATGTGAGTTTAAAAAGAATAAAATTGAAGGGGTTTTTTAAAAATTTGCTACTTACATTTTTCACTCAGTAATTCCTATTTTTAGCTTTTTCTACACACAACCTGTTTAAAAAGAAAGAGCCTGCAACTCCTGCAAAAATAATGTAATTCAGCATCTGAAGCATAAAGCAAAATTTCAAATACTGTGAGACTTGTGATACAATTGTGAGAGTTAGTGACACCAGTGGTTGCAAGACTCAAAAGCTTTTTTATCCCTTTGATTTTTTTACTACTCTGATTATTGAAGAATCTGAATGAAGCAACACAAACCATTCTCAGAAGACAGAGAAACTTTAAGAGTCCAAGTTCCACTTGTGAAAAGGACAGTAAAGCATTTAATAGCCAAAATTTTTGGCACTTGGAAACTAAAAACATATTTAGCTCCTTAAGCAGACTGACTAGAGTCTAAACAGCTTTGATTTTTTTCCTACTGCAGCAGGAAGTATCAGTCACTATGCAACTCTGAAACTTTGCTAATTTAAGTACCTAACTACACAGATAGATAGCTAATTTTAAACAGGTCTCTTTAAATTGTTACGCCTAAATGACTCATACACCCACAATCAGGTAGTCTGTGACAAAGTAAGGCAGATGTCAAGCCTTTTGCGTGAACTGCAAAGCTGCTTTCTTTCCTATGGTGTGAAGTATCAAGAGACACCCATATGCTGCCTTTTATGAGTACTTAATTCACTGGAAAAAATTAAAACTCTCTACCATACACTATCATTGAAATAATAATCCTGTCTTTAATTGCAGCTGTCTAAAGAGAATGGTAATTGCAGTTTGAAACTCATTAATTCCAGTGTTCTGTGTCTAACTTGTCCATATATATATATATTAAAAAAAAACCCCAAAACCCATAGAAACTACCAAAAGTATTCCTCAAATTTTGAAGGATGCAGCTAAGTAGTAATGTGGTCAGAACAACCAGAGGCAGAATTTAATTCTTTATGTCTTCCTTTCTAAGGACATTATACATCCAAGTTAAGCAGCTTTTAAGAACATTTTATACACCAAATTTAAGAAAGAGCCTCCCTGGGATGAATGTACGTAGGATAACTCCTATACCCCACTGGTGAAGAATCTTGCCTGAGACTACACTGCTACTGGTACTTTATTAATAAATCCATCTTGGCCTTACATATTACTTATCATTAGGAGCTTTCAAAGAGCTTTCCTGGGCAAGACAGAATCATTCATCTTTGTAAGTCATAGCATAAATTGGGCTGGGCTGTGAAGTTCACTTTTTCAGGTCAAGGTTAATCAGTGTTATAAGAAGTATTATGCACCACCTTGCGGGGGTGGGGGGGGTAAGAAGTCTTGCCCGCCACGTGGGGGGGGGGGGGGGGGGGGGGGGGGAAGAAAAAAAAAAGAAAAGATTCACAAGTAACTTCTAGGATATAAAACAGTATGACAAACCTCTCGTGGCAAAGCCCAGAGAAGTTGTGGATGCCCCCTCCATGGAAGTGTTAAAGCCAGGTTGTATGACACTTTGAGGGGCCTGGCCTAGTGGAAGATGTCCCTGCCATGGCAGAGGGATTGGAACTAGATGATCTTTAAGGTCCCTTCCAACCCATACTATTCTGTGATTCTATTATTCTAATGTAGATTTTAAGTCAAATCCTCCAAGAACCCGAAAAGAAGATGCATCAGGGATGCTAATCTACCTTCAGCTGTTTCACAAGGGTACAGCCACAGCTGTACACAGGTTGCTCACTTGCTCCTAGCACTATCCAGCAGCATCTGCTCTGTCAAAACCTTTGACAGCTGAGGACAGGAGCCATTTGGGCTTAATGCTTCCACTCCTGTACTGAGAGTAAGAGAGACTCCCTGAACTATTTCTCCAGCCTTTACTGCTGGAGAAAACATATCGAGGTATTCACAAAACCAAATGGAAGGTAACATGGACAATTATTCACAAAGACAGTTTTGATTATTATGGCCTAAATTCTGCCTTCAGCATGAATATATCTTTCAGGTGCAAGGAAGAATATTAGACAGTCATGGAATAAGAACAAGGCAACTGCTGGTCATGATCAAAGCCTAGACACCAGAACAGCTGCCAGGTCCGGCACTCCTTAGGCAGATAGACAGTGGTAGAAGGAAAGAACAAGATTCATGTAAAGGAACCTGCCCTGTATCATAGTCCCAGCATGCAAGTTGTTCACTTTAGTAAAGGTAGTATATGATATGGCAGGGAACTGAAGCTCCATGATGGGACTGTAGCTCTGCTGCCTTTTAGGCCACCTCTGCCCGCACAGACTTAGGCCTATTGAAGAGAAGCTGTAATGTCAGACTCGCTGAGAGTGGCCTCACTGGGGACAAATATACATGGATTTAAGAGCTTAGACTTGAGCAAACTGAAGTGTTGTAAACAAAGCTTTACAAAATCCAGGTTTTGTTTAACTTAACTTAATCACTTCAACAAGACACTTGAAATTAAACTACATTAAATGGTGTGGGTACACAGCAGAGGCTATGACAGGAGGGTATTAACAATACATGGAGGCGCAGAGGTGGTATTTTATGGTTTAAAATGTGCAATGGTCTATTCTACAATTGGATGTAAGAATACTTCTAGCTCAATCAAGAACTAATCAAGCTACACTAAGAATAAAAGTGTGAAGCTTTAAAAAGGAAAATCTGTTTAGTTCCATTTTACAGATATTTTCCAGCAAATACAGATTACTAAAATGCTGTACTTAAGTAATCCTAAATGAAAAAGACGGAAATTTTTATTCCTAACCCAGTTTGTTGTGTTCAAAATTTAATACATTAAGAACAGCAGGTTAAAGAAATTATGATCTAATATGTCAGAAATACAAGATATATGAAAAATCTTTCATTCAATTTCGCTCTTTATATTCTAGACTTCAGTTCAGAGTGAAAAGTCTGTATCTAGAGAAAGAGTAGATTTTTAGTGGCAGCACATGAGACTGTAGGTGGTAAAAGGGGAAGTAGGGTAAATCTCGATGGGTCCCTGGGAGTTGGTTTGGGCATAACTCCCATCCAACCTGGAAGCCACAGACCATTTCCCCACCTTCACGCTACCCTGTGGGCCTAACTTGGTTGCTGCTGCTTCAAAGACTGCCTGGAAAACTATAGGGGCACAGTAATACCAGTTGTGGGGTGGAATTCTCAACCACATCTTCACAAGTTATTCTGTGCAAGGGGATAATCTAAAATGCTGAGGGAGACAGTCACAACTGGTTTGTTCTTCAATACACATTATTTTCAACTTTCAGTAAATGCTTGATGCGGCTGATTTGTTTGACTTTATGACTGAAATTATGGACACAGCATGGCATTTGCAAAAAAACACCAACAATGGGGGAAAACTGTGACTACATGATAGAATCCCTTATGGTAAGGTAAATCTATTCTAAGCTGGTAAATTTTACTTTGTTTCCCATATTATACAATTTCCTCCCAGGGAAGCTGGCCTCAGACAGCATCTCTCTCATATTTGCCAGAGTGATGGTTTATATACCAATCTTGCAATGCATGACAGTATAAAGAGGATCTTAAAACATTTTTTTTAGAAGCTCCACTGTCAACTGTTCAGATTTTTTATTTCTTAAAAATTTGATGGAATGTGACAGCCTGTAAATAATCTTCCAGTTATTACTTTTATGGAATGGAATGCTCTGAACACTATTTTTCTGCAAGGCAAAGAGTAAGGTCAGGACAGAGCATGGAGACTTACATTACTGTATGGAATCTTGCTGTTGTCCATCTCTTTCTTCCACAATTGGAGCAGCAAATTCCTGTACTCCTGATTGAAAGGTCCAGAGTAAGAGAGAAATCCAGTGGCCAGAAGAACATTCCCCACTAAATTAATAATTTGATTTTGAAAGTTTTTGCTGCTTGCTGTCCAACGAAGCTGTATGTAAAATATTATAAAGAAGGTAGATTAAGCAGGCACAAAACTAATGTGAACATCTAATTTAAGAATGTATCTCTTTCTGGTAAATAATTACTCTTCAAACCAGGAGTATTTTTGGCTTTTAATTAATTCTTTTCAGAAGTAGAAGTTTGCTTGGAAGAGAAAGCAACCACCTGACCAAGTGGAGAAAAATTCATTTTTGCCAGCAAGCTGGCCAAACTGGTAAGAAGTGCTTTAAAGAAGGAACAAAGCAGGATGAAGAGGATGACCAACAACCATGTGAGGAAGTGGAGGACTAGGTTGGCAAATAAAATATGTGGGGGGATATAAATCATAGGGACCTTGTAACCCATAAAACAGGGCTAATGAAGGACCACCTCAAGCATATCCACATAAACAAAGAAGTGCCTACCAGACAGAATGATGGGGACAGTTTTTATACTGTTTCTGGGAAATTAGCACACAGCTGGGCACCTCTCTGAAGTGCTTGTACACTAATGAGCACACCAGGGAGAATAAACAAGGAATCACAGGTCTGCATGCAGTTGCAGAGGCATGATCTCATAGTGATCATGGGACCATGGTGAGAAGGCTTCCACAACTGGAGTGCTGCAACAGGTATATACAGGATTATTAGGAAGGACAGGCTGAGAAGGTGAGGAAGGGAGTTTTCTTTTATGTGAGAAAGCAGCTGGAATGCATGAAGCTCTCTGCATCTGAGACTCTGGGGTAGACAAAGAGCCAGTTGAGAGCTTCTTGGTTAGGAACAGAGGGCAGACCAACATGGGTGATGTTGTGTGTGTCTGTTACAGACAATGTGATCGGGAAGAAGTAGATGAGGTCTTTTGCAGACAATGGGAAGAAACCTTGCATTCATAGGCCCTGGTCTACGTGGGGGACTTTAATCACTGGCATCTTCTGGAGGGACAACACAGCAAGACACAAGCAATCTAGTAGGTTTTAAGGAATGCCCTGACAAAAATTTCTTAGCACAGGTAACCAAGGTTATAATAAGGGAAGGCAGTTTGCTGAACCTCAGACTTGCGAAGAAGAAATAACTGGTCAGGGATGTAAAAGCTGGGAGCAGCCTTGGCTGAGAGAATTGAGATTGTTTAGCCTTGAGAACAGACAGCTCAGGGGGAATTCTATCAATGTGTAGAAATACCTAATGGGAGGGTGTAAAGATGATGGTGCCAGACTCTTCAGTGGTACCCAGTGAAAGAACAAGGGGCAATAAGCACAAATTGAAATACAAGAAATTCCAATTAAACACACAAAAAAACTTTTTCACAGTGACAGTGGTCAAGGACTGGAATAGGTTTCCAAGAGAGGTTGTGGAGTCTCCATCTTTGGAGATATTCAAAACCCAACTGGACAATGCCTTGAGCAACCTGCTCTACTTGACCTTGCTTTTGAGCAAGGGAGTTTGGGTTAGATGATCTCCAGAGGTCCTTTTCAATCTCAGTTATTCCATGATTCTGTGATTTTCTGAATAATATTTTTGAGTTTTACTTATTCCTTTCTCTCCATATTTCTGTGCCCCTCTAATCACTCTGCATGCAATCTTGGTCAGGACTTACATGTTTTAAATTTAGAAAATACACATTTAACCCAGTGTCAATTTTACCCAAGGCTCCATGTGCCCCATATATTTTATTTTTTTGTCTGAATTTTCAAAAGTAGAATGGAATGACTGGTCTTACAAGGCCTCATAGCACAAGGCTTCAGAAAACCCACAATAAGGCACTGTAAGTTCCTATTTTGGTGTTGCTCTTAAATTTAGAAATTAACTGAAAAATATGATGAAGCATCTAACATTTTTGACTGATATATTTTGAAGTACAGCTATGCAAACAAATGCTGAAGTTCTGGCCTCACAGGATGCAATTATTGAAGTCAAAGCTCTCGTCAATTTTGACTCTGTGTGAAATCAACCAAGGAATTATCAAAGCAAATAATCAGATGACAAAAAAGAGTATCCTGCTTCCTCTGGAAACCTTCAGGATGAAGTCAGAAAAATCTGCATAGGAAAGGTAAATTTCAAGCTCAGTGCAGAGGATAAAGATTAGCCTATAATTCTGTAAAAGGCTCTAATAGAAATCTGAACTTCAAATATAATTCAGGAAATCAGTCAAGCCTCAAATTCCTATTCTTGTATAGTTGGTGAGAAAAGAAGAGTAATCCTTCTTATAAATATTTTAGTGCAATTATTTAGGTTAAGCCTAATTCCTCTTCTTACTAAATCTAAAAGGAATTGGGCTCCTTGGCTATATCTGAACTTTATCCCAATACGAGTCAAAAGATATGACATAAAGAAGAATTAAGTTAACACAAGAAATTGTTTTACTTTGTTAGCTACATTAAGTTCAAATAAAACACATACATATAACTAAAATAAAGTGTCAACTGATATTGAGATGTCTCCATGCCTTGAATTTCTTGAGCACTGCTAATGATCATTATGGAGTATTCCCAAAACTGAGCACCTATGTCATGCTGGAAAACTACTCATATGTGCTAGTACCTTTTCTCCACCTAATCCTTCAATCAGTGCTGTGGCATTTTTCATCTTCCTTCTGCATGCCTCAGCATCATCAAGTAAGGCTTGCTTCTCCTTCATAGCAGTATCATACATGGCCTGTACTTGATCCAGTTCCATTTGCTTCTCATCCAGCTGAATCTGTGCATTATTCAGTTCTATTTGGGCAGCTGCAAGTCTTCCCTCTTGCAAGGCTAAATTTGCCTACAAACATTTAAAAGTAAAGAACAGTTAATACTTAGTATTTGGTAAGAAAATTTACATTAATTTAATTGCACATATTGTACTGTATTGGGTACTTTTTAAAGCAATACATGTTTAAGATAACAGCAGTTTTTCCTTTTCTACTTTTCAACCTAAAACTGGAACACAAGCATAAGATTAATGTTATTCAATACAATCTTAAAATGTTTTAATAATATTTTCAGAATGATCTATTGGTCACACAATGATAAATTATTTGAAATCACAATACACTTGAAATAGTTGTATACTAGATATATAAGGCAATCCATACAATGTTTTCTGTAATATATTTTCAGTACAAAAGAAAATTGATATTATAAAATAATAATAATGGAAACTAATCTTCTCTCTTTTCCCATCAATTACTTCTACAATAAAAATATAAAAACCACATTTTATTGCTCCTCTGGAAACTAAAACTCTAGCTACTTCTCTCACATCTTTATAGAAATTTGAATAATGAGTTGTCAGTTATTTAAATGTGGCTTCTTAACTTGCAGATTTCTAATGGGTGGGGAAGGGGAAGTATTCTGTGAATTCAGCATGTGTTTCCAAATACATGTTTGCAAAGGATTAGAGACTGACAAAGTTCTTATGAAATTCACACTTACAGATAAAGGTTGCTTCCATTTATTCTGAATATTTAAAACACTTGTTTAAATGTCATGTATCATCTTATTTCTTCTGCTGTAAGAGTTATAAAGATGGAAACCAAGAATCTGTAAAAACTGCTTTATTACAAGTATGAAACTTGACACTCACATTACATCACACCAGAAGAGAAACAGCACAAGGAACCCCTGGAGTGGCTCTTAGTAAACAGTATAACCATGGATTGGGTTTTCACATTAGATTTTCTCTAAAAAATACATATTGAGTTCTTATCAAAACATGCTAAAACCAGCAAATTCTTCCTGCTTTGCATAGTAAAAACACACACAAAAAAGAGAGGAGCCAAAATCATATTTTGAGATGTAGGCATGATAAAAAATGCAGCATGAAGTCCGGTGGATTTCAAAAGATAGGTCTGTGAGCAGGGAATTAAAGAAGCATATATGTACTAATCAATAAAGTAGTGCTTTCTGAGTTACACATATAGAGAATAGCACCAGCAGCAAAAATATTTATAAAATTAAAAATAAAATTGTTTACTGTAGCCACTGTGTCTGTTGACACATCCTAGAGATATACAAATATTTTATAATGGAGATAAGCCAATGAAATGGCTGCTCATAAAATTTCTATCATGCAAGAATGCTGAAGTACTTTTATTCCATTTATCAAAAAGCACATTAAACGGCATCTCCTAGAGATAAACACTGTTAAATCGGTGAGTCTTGTAAAGACCTAGCTAAGCAGATTTCAGAACTACTGCTGGGTTTTTTTAGTGAATCTTGGACTATCAGGAAAAGTAAAAACAGTAAAGGAGTTTTGAGCAGGTGATGTAGTGTTACTGTGTCGTGCACTGTGGGAGAGCTCTTTCTGGATCTTAATAAGAAGGGCCCAACAGCAAATGGCTTAATAAGATAACTGCTTTTAGAAGATCCATAAAAAGAACAGGAACATGGATAGTGAGTAAATCTTACAACCTTTCGTATGCTGGGCACCCCACATTCATGCAGCATCAGTGTCTGGATAGATTTTCCCATGGCATGCTGTGCAGAGCAGATCCTGTCCATGGAGAGAAAGCTTTCTCTTTTGGTCATTCAAGCTATTAGAAACTCCTCATATTATTCTGTCTTATTAAAGCAGTTAACTTACTAAGTTGTCTGTTGTCAAGTCTTTCTTACTGAAATCCAGAGGGAGCTGTGCACCAGCCCTCTCTCTCCTACCTGACCCCCATCCCGCCTTCCCCAGTGCAGAGCATCCTCTTATCCTTAAACTCTCTCAGGGCTAAAAAAGGGAGTAAAACAAAGTTATGACATGTTGTTTCACCCCCAGCTGAAAAATAGTGTGGTTACACAGGGAACAAGATCATTGGAGAGTTGGGAAGAACAGCCTAGGCAGAACAGCTGCAACAACAGAAAACTTACACCTGGCCGCGTGAATTCATATTTCACCTTGACATTTATCACAGCAGGACATGAACCTCAATGGAAAAGAATGGCTATGTGAATTCCTGATACATATGAGCAATGATGCCTTTAAATATGAAAAACAGACATCCGTGAAGCAATAAACTACCCAGAAAGGTGCAAGAGACTGATAAAACAGACTTCCCAGTTCTAAAAAACTCTTAAAAGGCTACCAGCTTTGAAGATATAGCGACAATGAAAAAATATTTCAGACAAGTACAAAGAAAAAACATACTGTACTTGATAACATGGAAAAAACCCCAAAAATTTTCACACAAGACTTTACAGGATCTCTAGAAGATGACTTATTAATAAGATATTATTTTGCAGACAATTTAACCAAAGCTTTCAGCCAATTTTAGGGTAAACATAACAAAGTAGTAATACATTTTGGTATTAGTTTGATTTGTAAGCTGCTTAATCATACAAGATGAATAATGGTTGGTTGCACAAGGACGACAGCTAACATACCATGACGACCAACTTATGTGATTCCCAAAGGTAGAATTTGTTTCAGGTTACCCTGTGTAATCATCACTATTTGCTCTCTCTCTGTCTTTCTTTCCAACTCAATTTTTCAAAATTACATGGGTACAAACAGTGCTTTTGTATTGACACCACTGGCAGGCTGGCTGGCAGCTTCCTGTGCAGAGCTTTGCCATAAGAGCAGGAGGCAGGTTCTGCTGCCAAGGAGAATCTTCGGCACAAGAAGGCTATCACAGTCACAAGTAGCTTCATACAAAGATTTCCAGCCAATTAGAGGCGGGAAGTAAATGTGTCTCCCAACCACAAAGAACCACTGTGGCCTTTCTAATTTTAGCAAGACTGCTATTTGAACAAGCTTCACACCCTTCATTTCATCCCTCTGAGTCATGCAGCAAAGCAAGGATTCACAATTTGTTCCAGTTGGATGCAGTGTGAAAGACTGAATAAATAGATTTTACGTGAATGAATCATGAGGATTCGAGACATGAGATCCACACTTATCTGTACTCCTGGAGGTGGGGGCGAGGGCTATGCTAGAACATGCCTAGGCTTTCGTGAGAGCAGGAGCGCCAGCCTTTTCCTCCTACTGGCATTATGGGGAACGACACAGATAATTCTCTCAACATCTGCTCCAGACAGTGCCTCTATCTGCTCTCTGCATCTGTCTGCATGGGGCAAGTATGGAGATACCTGTGCCAACAAGGACCACAGACTAAATAGTCAAGCAGCTATTTCACCTTCTTCTGAGATGCTCCCAGAGAGGATGTCATACCACGTGGTGAGATGATCCTGCCCCTTTTAACCTTTTTACATTCCACATAAAACCAGGACAAATAAATATGCAATTACAGTCCACAGCTATACTGTTAAATTAAACATGCCCAGGACTTTCTCTGGCACTGAGGTTAACTAGCGTAAAACAGCTCACATTAAGCTCTCCCAGCCTCTAAAACAGTATGGCTGCATGCAAACAGCCTTGTAGAAACGGCCCTTGGACCAAGCTAGCTCCTGAAAGGTGCCCAGAGATTGCTGAGAAAATGCTGCTTAGCCAAGACCAAATTCACACTAAGGATCATTCTAACAATTTAACTGTGCAGATGATCACTTTCCAATGTCTAGAAAAATTCCCTAGCACTGTTTAATTTATTAGTATTGACATAACCATAAGTTTCTCGTTGACTCATTGCAAACCCAATTTTGCAAAGTGCTGAGTATATCTGGCCCTGATCCAAGAAGGCATTTAAATAAAAATGCCTTCTCCAATAAAAAAGCTCACACCATTTAATGCTATCCTTGCTCTTGAATGGAATGCCCAGATCAACTCCAGATCACTCTGAAGAACAACTGTTGCTGAGTAAATTCAGGAAATATTACTAGAAGTAGGAGAACTCATTAAAACAAACAAACAAATAACAAAAAAAAGACCCAACTCAGACTTTATAGTTCATCACAGATAAGGAAGACTTGGAGCTTTCCTAGCATCTTTCTTGTTTCAGGAATTTTAACTTTCAAAGCTCACTGTTCTTACAGTTCACTGAGCACTCACTACTGCACCAGGCCAGAAGGCTTCTTGCACTTGGACATTGTCACTCAGCCCATGAGCCTCTGTGGATATGCTGGGTGACCGCCTTTGCCTTTTATTTCAGTTCTGCCCTGGGCACACAGCACCTGACTGACAAGTCTTAATGGAAATGCAATCTCAAGCTGCTCCTGTCCCAAATCAGTCTAGTTTTTTCACATAGACACTCTACTGGTTTTGTATCAACTTTCTCAGAGATTCAATATCATGCTAAGTTTGGATTCATCATTATTTAGGGAAACATTATAAGAGAGGCAAACACATACACAGGTTTCGCAGGCATTCCAAAAACAATGTTTTCACTTCATCAGTCTAAAAAAAAATACACACTATATGTATACATATATACACATGCAAACAGATCCATGCAGAGTGACATTAACAGAATCCTGGCCTCAATTTCTTTGCTATCACTGACCATTCTTTGGGATTAAAACAACCTTTGAAAGGCACAGAGATCATGCCTTTTCTCTGCTTTTCACAGCCTCTACTAGCTACTGAAAGACTCTCCTTTTTTTGCTGTCCAGTTACATGTCCCGACTTCAATCTGTTTTGTTAGGTGATCTAATCCTTCCCTTCATCCCCCAGAGTATATGCTTTCCTTCCACAGTTATTGTAGGCCTTGAATTCAGACTTGAAGGCTTGTTTTCCTGCCCAGTGGGCATCACCTTGACAAGGACACGCTTATTTAAATGGACAACCACCAAATTTTGACACTCCTTGACTGTTAGCTCTTCCTCAAGTGAGATGATTCCTCAAGATTTCATCTTACTGCCTGCTGTGATTTTTAGTTCAGCATAGAGACAAGTGAAAGCAGAAAAGGCAATAAAGTCTCATATTTAAAACTGAGTTTGACAGGGAGAATCCTCAATATCAAACAGAATTTATGAACTGTAGACAAACTTTCCTTGATCATCATAACAACCTGAGGAGAACTTAATTAAAATCACTGGAGACATCTCTAAGGGAAATTATACCCTTATACACAGTATTTTAATTGGGGGCAAACAGAATCACAGTAAAAGCCAGGACTGCTTCATTCTGCTGTTATAGTCTCCAACCAATGGATAAATAGCAGATGGTATTGCAGAATTATCAGGTTAATCCAGCAGGCTCGTTTACTAGGTAACAAGCTAGAGAGGAACATCTCATGGTCATGCTAAAGGTTTATAGGAAAGTAGCACACATATGGTGACCACTGTGTGATAAGCAACTACACAGCATTGTATTTGCAGGCAACATTTGGTTATACTTTCTGTGTTTAATTCTAACTAATGACCCTTAGGCTGCAGGCCACATATCTAAAGAATGTAGGTAACCATTTCTAGGAATGAGTTAATTTTTGCACACTATATTTACTAAAATGTAAGTCACTATTAATTAGTTTTCACAAGTTGCCACATTTAAGATAAATGAGGCACTGACACTCTGTTAAGATGCAATTTAAAAATATATTGGATGGATTTTGCAGGTGTTGAAGGGGGTTTATCTCCTAGAACAGCAGATAGGATAGAGCAGCTTGATTAATTCATTCAGTAAAACTGCTTTTAGCACTGGATGATTTAGCCTGTGCTAGTACCTTACGCAGTTTAATTGTACATTTATTTTCAATTATTTTCTTAGCATCACTACAGTGATTCCTGCAATATCTCCTGCATATTTTAAGCACTTCCTCCCTCTGTCATTTTCAGTTTTAAAATCTTTATGACTGTTGCTATACCAAACAATAGACATCACTTTGCCAAGAAATGCTCGGTCAGTTTTTTATCAGCTACAGTGTGACAAGAACGTAAATACTTGAATAAAAAGTTAAATTTATACATAATCCTAAATCATATATATTCAAATAAAAACTGCAAAAGTACTTTTGCAGCTTTCAGAGTTGCATCTGTTTATAAAGCCACTATTTCCTCTTAAGTCTTGCTCTCTTTTCTAGCTCTCAGTAGCCACATTTCACATTCTGTTTTCATTAGTGAATATCCCATTATTTGAAAAGGGAATTGCTACTTATATATCACAGAAACATAGTCTTCTCTATCAGTTACTTCAGTCAAAAATATCATGCTTTTAACAAATTTGAATTAGATCTGTCTAGATATACTAAAAGAATATGCCAAGAGTTTTGAAAATACCATTGATATCATCTCTTATACAACAGGAGACTGAACATAAGTATAGTGGAAGCATAACCAATTGAATGTATTTCTTCAGAAAAGAGACATAAAATCCTCTGTAGAAGCAATGATTATAAATCACTATATAAATATTCAAAGTCCCTTTTTTTTTTCAATATGCTCATAAATGAAACATTTCCAAGACAATAAAGCTATCTGAAGGAATGCAGATAATGGGAGCTGATCTCTTTCTACTGTAGTTCAATGTTACAATAGAATTCTATGCCAAGTGACTACTTACTTTATTTTATACACACTCACATGTAGCAGTTTGACACTCCAAAGTTTTCTTGGAGATCTGAATTCCAGCCAAATTCATTAAAGAATACTTCTGTGCCAAGAATGCTCTCTTCTCTCCCAGATTCTACCAAGACCACAATGAGTATGCTCCTTCCCAGGCTGGTAGGACTGAGAAGATTTTTTGAAACCATAGTTCCTGGCACAAAATTTGAGCACAGAAACAGTATCGGTACCTCCCAGAGAGCCAGGTTCCATAAAGAACCTGTGTACTAAGGCTCCCATTGAAAACTGACTGTACTCACACAGTAACAACTGTACCACAGGGTAGCTGAGTAAGGGGGAAAAATTGCAAGAACGTGTTTAACCTCTGTGTGCTTGAGTTCACAACTGGATGTGAAGAAACAAGAATCTCTTGTAACTTGTGATCTTTTTTAGACAAAATAATGAGACATTTTTTTTCCATTCAACTATAATCATCCCTCAGAAAAATTAGTAATATGAAATACCTTAAGAGGAAGAACTTCCTTATTAATACCATAGAAGTAAGCCATTGCTTTTGTCCACGAGCAAAGACCTGCTACATTTCCACACACTTTTTTAGCAGTGTCAAGGTTATAATCCTCCATATCCAAATAAGGCTCTAAAAGCTCCACAGTTTCTCCTGTAATTGAGTCCTAGTCAATGGAAAGGAAAAAAATATTTTTAAAACGGATTTTAGAATAAAGTCTGCTTCATGGAAACATTTTTTCTTTTTAAAAGCATGGTGCTACCACTCTCATAGAAGACATTAATAAAATAACACTGTTGCCTTTCACTCTTATAAAGGACAGAAGATTAGTTGGTTTTTTGTGAACTCCGGTGAAAACAGCTCCTATTTCCATTGCAACAGTTTGCATTTAATGAGTTTGCATTTAATATCCCTATTGGACTCATAAAATGTACAGACATTACTTGTACTCATAGCTAGATGACAGCTTAAGCTGATCTAAGTTATTGCTGCTATAGCACTCTATCTTCTTTCCTCTCTCTCTCAACCAGATGTCCTTGCCCTACCTTTAATACCATCACCAATGCTCAGTGAGCTAGTTTGGGAGCTAATATGACAGAAATGTAAGTCAGCAAACTAGTGACTAGTTTTCTTCTAGGCTAGTTCCCTGAACAAGCTCACCATGGCATCAGACAGGTATCAGGGTGAACAGAGCTAAGGGAGTCAAACACGCAGCTTTAGTAAGGAAAAGGGTGAAACTGCAAGGCACTGACTTCAATTCACCAAAGCTACCTCTTTTCCTTAATTGTAAAAGCAATTTCTTTCAGCTGTTCACATCATTATTCTAATATCAGATTTCCAGCCCCCCTTCACAATCAGTTGAGAACATGAAAAGTTAGATCTTTGATGATGATGGCTAATCTACAATTAAGTGTCAGAAGAAAATGGAATTCATCTCCTTAAGCAATGTAGAGAGAAGAAGGGCTTATACATGGTAACAACGCTTGCTTAACAAAAGAGGCATTAAGAATCTTCCCTTTTTTTTGGCAAAGTCTTAATGCCTTTCTTCTAATGCATCTAAAAATCATCCTCTATTCACATTGCCAAGCAATATACCCTTTTCTTGCTTTTGTACATAGCAGAAAGGACTGTCTGGTACTTGTCTGATCCCCAGCTACTCTAGTAACAAAAACATTCATTATACTATTCCTAAGATCAGACATGGTGATGTTTTCACATAAGCATTTGCTGGACCAACATTCTGACTTTTTAATTCTCAAAATTATGAGCTAGAAAGCTGGCAAAGGTGAAGCAAAGACCAATCAGCAGTGGCCTAAATCTCTGTTCAAGAGCTTGAAAAATGTCACACTTCTCTTTTTAAGTAAAGAATTTTAAACTCAAGGAACTATTTCATCCACTAATCTTCCTCGTCTAAAACAATTAGGAAATAACAAAAATCTTGCAAACAAGTAAGTAGCGTAGTCTCCTCAGAACTCCAGACACCACGAGCTTTCTTCTCATATATAATTAGTCTTAGAAATAAGAAATGAGGCAGGAGGACAGCATGTGAAGTACCTTATCATGGATATAAGTAGTCTAGTGTTCTTCACCACATTCATCAGTATCACTTCCTGCAAGAACTCAGTCCCACAGATGTTGTTACGACTCCTCTGAGTAAAGTTAAACTTGTTGCAAACTACCAGCAGGAACACATACACTATTAATAAGTGACAAAACTAAAAGCCTCATTAGAGAGAAGCTTGAAAAAGGAGTGCATAATTAGTCCCCATTATCTTTGAACTCATTTCCTCTTTCTGTTTAGTGAAGATAGCACTTGGAAAAGTGACCGGATGGACATCTCTAGGAAGAGACTGTCTACAGAGGCAATGCAAGTTTCCACACAGTGCCTTGTCAATATGGATCACTGGGAGAAATGGCTCCTGGGGATAAGTGAGAATCATGGTTTCTCTGCACAACAAAAACACTCCAGTAGCTTAGAAAAGGCATCAGCAAGATACACAGTTGAAGTAGATTTAAAAAATCACTGTACAAATGAAAGAGTATGTTCCACAACATTGCAGAAAATCCAGGTTTTGCCAAAACCTGCTTGGTTTTCTGTATTTTAAAGTTGGGCCGTGATTCTGCCATTCCATAGTCCTAGTTCTTTTCCTGGTCCAGCTACCTGTGACATCTTCCTTCTCTTCCCTGCAGAGAAATTTCCTTTGTCTCACAGCCCAGTGAATCTTGCTATAAACAGGACAAGTTTCTGTTCTGGCAGAAATAAAACCCAGTGTTTGTGTTTATTTTTCTTGCAGTTGATACTAAGGTTCTCAGTTCATTCTGCATTTCACTACTTTTCCAGTGAAAGAACACTGGAAGTTCCCAAATATCTCGGTATTTTTCCTGACAGGAAGCTAATTTTGTTCTGTATTTCCTCCTAGCTCCCCACTAAACAATTCTGGAGATGGAGTTCTAGAGTGCCTCATATACAAATGGGCCTGGTAGCACTGGAGATGGTGATCCATTTGAAAAACTAACAGTGGATCCTTTTAAGGCAAATTCCTACTGAGAAGCAGGAACTGCCTGAATAAAGATAACACTATGCTTCTCAAGATTTGATCTGGTGTTCGGGATACTTGTATTTGCCATCCAAACTGTGTTGCTCAGGAGAAAGATTACTGAAATAATAAACCATGAAAATTGAGAGGAATATAGCCACAAAGATATCTACCACTACAGGTACACTAAAGCTTCATGTGTTTCAAACTACCTTTGAAGGTGGAAGACACTTTCAAATGATCTCTAAAGATAGTTATAGGAGTAATAGTGCCCCTATTAACTTCTTACCTTCTGGAAAGTAAGCAACATGCTAAGAAATCCTGAATTATTCATTAGCTTCAGAGCCTCAGTCCATGATGGCTTCACACAGGGATGTTCTTGATCAGGTGTTACTGAGTCTATTTTTCTTTGGAATAAAAGTAGCACACAATCCATAATTCTCATTATCAAGTGAGGAGGTTTACCCAGTTTGCGAACAGTTGCAATGTCAGAAGGCTTTATTGTCTGAAAAATGTAAAAAGAAAATAATCCATTTATTTAAGCAATCACTTGATGGTTGAGAAAGGTGTTGTTTGGAAGGCCTGTATATGTAATGCAATTCCTGCAGTTTTGCAGGTCACCCAGAGGCAGTACTGCAGAAAGTCCTTAAAGGCAGTACCACTCAATGACTGCTTTATTACCTGAGAGTAGAGTAGGTACTGCCCATCTTATCTCTCCACTGATTCAGTTTTCAGGGTTTTTTTCGACACAGACTGATAGGTCAGTGCTAGTCCTTTATATATATATATACACATATATATTGATTTATTTATTTATGTATTTATTTATTTATTTATTTTTCCCCCAAATCAGAAGCATAAGCCATATTATTACAAATAACAATCATTACCTACATGCAAGTTCAGAGTATCTTTGATTCTGACCTGCAGGGCTTCCTCGGCTTCTTCCAGTGCAGGTCTTGCAGCTTCAAGTTTCTCTTCTGCTGCTGCTTTATCACTGGCAATGTCATCCACAATGGCCTGAGCCTTGTCTTTTACCTTTTGCACCTGCATTTTCACCTTTTCGGAAGCTTGGGCTTTTATAGTTACTTCCAATAAAACTTCATCAGCTCTTTTTGAAGCTACAGCCAAATCTTTCTCCTTCATCACCAGCTCTTTGGAGAGCTGATTTACTGAAACCTCAGCTTCCATTAGTTTTGCAAGACCTATATTGAACAAATTCCATTTTAGCAATATGAAGACCTATTGAGAGAGAAACCTCAGTGAAGCAATTTGGATATTTAAAATAAATCACTCAGATTCATATTTAGGAACCCCAGTGAGTGATCCCATTTGTTGAACACCAAAATTAAGAGAGCTAATATCGATTTGCTATTTAAAGATTTTCCTTTCCTTTTTTTTTTTTTTTAATGGGCAAGAGTCTTCAGAATCTGTCACTTGTTGATCACTTGTTTATATTCTTGTATATGAGAGGGACATTAAACATTAAAGATATATATTGAAAAGCATTAGTATTGTGAATGGCACTCTTAACAATCATGTGTGCTATTTCAGAAGTCCACGAGACCATAAAACGTACTCTCTGTACAGAACAAAGATGAGGAGGAGGAACCTGCCATCCTGAGCAATGCAAATGATGATACAAGGAGACTAGGCTGAGCTTCTAAATTCAACATTACAGGAACGTCCAGATGAGATGGGGTAAAAGAAACTAAAGATTCTTGAACAATGCAATGCTCTACCATTTTTATCAAACAATTAGAAAATTACGTAGAAAAGCTATAAATATAAAAACCTTATATATAAAAGCATGCATCTAAATGTAAATCCATCACGTAAATCTTTCTAACTCTCAAAAAAAAGCACATATGTTCTTTACAGGTACCCAGCTACCTTCTGCCTGTTGGAGATACATGTACATAGCTCAGTTCTGCATCTGGCAACAATGGAAGAAGAAACAGTTAAGTTCACATTCACCTCTGAACAGCATTCAGTTTCAGAAACTGTTTAATTGTTTACTGTTTATGAGCTTGTGAAGTGCAATATTTTGGAAATTTTACATTTGGCATATAATTTTCTTTAAAAGACTCTTCAGAGTGACTGAATCTGAACATTTACTTACCTTGCCTCAGATTTACTTTTAGCACATTTAAATACACCACAGTACAAGAAGGATATAAAGCTAATAGTGTCCAGAGGAGGGCCACTAAATTGGTGAAGGGCTTAGAGGGGAAGCCGTATGAGGAGAGGTTGAAGTCACTTGGATTGTTCAACCTGGAGAAGAGGAGATCCCATCACAGTTTTTAAGCTCTTCACAAGGGGGAGAGGAGGGGCCGCTGCTGATCTCTTCTCTTTGGTGACCAGTGATAGGACCAGGAGAAATGGCAGGAAGATGCGTCAGGGCAAGTTTAGGTTGGACATTAGGAAAAGGTTCTTCACCCAGAAGTGAAGAACCCAGAGGGTGGTGGAGCACTGGAATAGGCTCCCCAGGGAGGTAGTCATGGCACCAAGCTTCACAATATTAAAGAAGCATTTGGACAACGCCATCAGACACATAGGGCAAGAGTTGGACTCGATGATCCTTGTGGGTCCCTTCCAACTCACGATTCTATGATTCTATGAAATATGAAAACTAGGATCTCAGTACTTCCTCGGAATGCATACATGTCAAAGTAGGATTTTCAGGTTTTTTAACTGCTAATAATATTTTCAAAACCCATCTGCAATCTGCAGCATTCAGAGTTCATTGAAACAAATCACACACAACACAGCTCAAAACATATGAGTCTGCTTTCAAATGAAAATGAATTTCAGTTTAAATATATACTTTTACATTCTTTTACTCAGATTCTTCTCACCTTCTTAAAAACAAACAAACAAACAAAAATCAAACAGATTTTACAGTACCTGTTCTCATGCGTTCAGACAAACTTCCAACATAGGCAAACTTCTCTTTGTAAATAGCTTTGTAGCCTCGAATGAAGGACAGGTAAGATTTTGGAGTCACAAATGTTCGTCGCCTATATCGTTCAAAGTATTCAACACATTTTTCAGCTACAATATCTTGAAATGTTCCCATGGTGTTAACAACATTCTGTTTCACTTCATCTGTGCACTCAATATGGTAGGAAACTAAAAAATGCTGTGCAACTGCTACAAGAGCATCTTTAGGCCAGCGCTGGAACCAATCCATGGTACAGCCTGAGATCAGACCTGGAAATTTGAGTGCACGAGTTCTGAATTTTTCTCCGACAGGAGAAAAACAAAGAATTACATGAAGGTTATTACGAACTCGGGCAAGAAAGTAATTATAAAGATTTTCACCAGTGGGAGTACGCTTTGGATACTCCTTCTTCATTGTCAGTATCAGGTCTTGTGTGATTTCACCTATTTCATCTCGTGCAAAAAGATTTGAGACTTCACCTGAAGTCAAAACATTGTTCATGTACTCAAGAAATGATTCATCTCTGATTTCATTGTCTGTGAATATAAAGACAATGCCCTTTCCTTTTTGCCCAGCAGTGCGGTACAAGATTTTCAGATCATCCAAAAGGTTATTGGTGGCATATGTTCTGGGATAGAAAAGGATTAAAGAAAGAGAGAACAAAAATTACAGATCATTTTAGGAAATGTCTATCATCTGGCTGAGCTTTCTTAAGGAAAAAAACCAAACCAAAACAAACAAACCTACATAAGAAATTAATACCATATCTCCTGGTTTCACTATTTTAGGAATTTTTTTCTTAAACATTCTCCCAAAATGATAGATCAGTACCACAAATCATGGGAAAGGAGCAGAACAAAGCTCCCACAATCAAGGAGCTAATGGTTAGAGACCTGTTCAGCCAATTAGACAACCACAAGTCTATGAGGTCAGATGGGGTCCACCCAAGGATATTGAGGAAGCTGGCAGAGGTGCTCGCCAAACCAGTTGCTGGAGTGTGTCCAGAAAAGGGCAACAAAGCTGGTGAAAGGGCTGGAGAACAAGCTTTATGGCTGACTGGGGAGGTTCCACTTGACTGGAAGGCGGCAAATGTTACGCCTATTTACAACGGCCAGAGGGAGGGTAGTCTGGAGAAGAGGAGGGTGAGGGGAGACCTTATCACTGTCTACAACTACCTGAAAGGAGGGTGTAGTGAGGCAGGTGTGTGTCTTTTCTCACAGGTAACTAGTGACAGAACGAGAGGAAATGGTCTTAAGTTGTGCCAGGGAAGGTCCTCAAGTCAAATCTGGTTTGTCTGTGACAGTTTTTGGTAAGTGAACTCTCTCTGTCCTTTCATTATATTTTATCCCACAAGCCTTTCATTATATTTTCTTTCCCCTTCCCAGTTGAGGAAGCGGAGTGATAGAGCAGCTTTGGTGGGCATCTGGTGTCCAGCCAGGGTCAACCTACCACAGTGTGTCAGCTACAGCTGTTACAGTGATTTGTGGTATTCTGATAAGAACGTAAGAATTTATCTACTGAGTCAGAATCATAGAATCATTTAGGCTGGAAAAGACCCTTAAGATCATCAAGTTCAACCAACTGGTGTCCAACCAAAACAGCAGGCCATCTAGCTCAATATTCTTAACACCAGCAATGGGAAATGCTACTTAGAGAGAAAACATGTACCAGCATCCACTCTTCACTGCTCATTTCTTTCTTTCCCTCTCCATATTCATAGCCATTGTATTAGGAATATTAGAAGGTATGTCCATCTTGGCCCCTCAGTATCGATTTATGAACCTGCTGATACTGTCTTCCTCAAGCTTCCTGTGGCAAGCTACAAAACATGACTATCTGCTTTACAAATACATGTTTTCAGCTACCTGCTTTTGGTCCACCTCCTGTTAGCTTCAGCAAATGAACCTTCCCTAAGTGACTGAAATATTTATTTGCCTTATTAATGCATTTTGAATCTTGCAAGTCTAGGGACTCTGTTCTGTGACTATGCACTTTTTTCTCTCCCTTCTTATTTTCTTCCCACTGTTCCTTCCTTCTGCTTCTGGGACACAGGAAGAGGCTGTGATATGTCTTTCTTTCTGTTTCCTTTCATCAGAAACCCCATAACACTGTTCAAAGACTCAATATAGCTCTCTAAGGAAGATTTCTCAGTGTGTTGGATAGTTTGCAGAGTGAAATACACACTGCCAGCCCTCAGTGCTTACCCCTGTAAACCATAGGTCAAAAGAGAAACAGATGGAAGGCAGTTGTCACTCCCAGACACTTCAAATTTTGAGAAATTACTAAATTCCAGCACTACATACTATTAAGTCTTTGATAGCACTTGTAATTATACAGTCTGGGTACATAAGCATCTATAGAAAAAGTTACTATTTCCCCTGGCCATCAGCATTTGACCCCTAATGCAGAATGCACCAGCAGATTATTCCATTTTATCTTTAGTGCAAAATGGTATCTTAGTGGCATTTCACAAGGGTGCATCGCAGATTCAAATGCTGAAGGAAAGGCAGATGTCTTGTCAACAGCATAAAGGCAGCAAAACAAAGACCCAGGATCTGTCATCTATAGACTGTGCATTTGCACAGATGCTTTTGATTGAAAATGTAGTCTACAAAGAGGAATAAAATATTTGACAGGTTTTCATTTCTTTACATTGATTGTGAGACATTAATTTCTATGGCAAATTAAGGAACAAATGTCTATGTACACTGCATTGTGTTACCTTGTTAAAGTAATCTGAAAGGTCTCATATCCAGCAATATATGATGCTAGTCTGGTCAGACTCTGTTTTCCAGATCCACCCACACCCACCAACAAAGCATTTCCTTGTGGAGTACGAATAATCCGTGATATTTTAATCAAATGGATGATAGCATCCTGTGTATTGAGAGAAAAAAGGATGAAAATATGTAAAAATAATATAATGTATATTCAACTAGAAGCACATCACCAACTGCCTCTCAATAGCTAGATGACTTTTCTAGTACCTGTAGCCTACTTAGTCCTGTACTCATCAAAATCAACAAGAGATTTCTCCCTGACTTCAGAGGGCAGTAGGGCTAGCCCAAAAGAAATGTCCTTGTATCAAGATTACATGAGGCAAAGTCATATGCAGTGTTTGTACTTGACAGAGCTCAGGGCATGTCCCTCAGGGAACAGAAGGAAAAGTAGAAAGGATGTAGATTTACACCCTCCTCCAACCTTTTAGTTGAGCTATTTACAGGCTCTCTAAATAGGCTGCCAAAAGTAAAATACAAGTACACTACAGACATTTCTTATTCCATTGCTGTATTTATCTTAGAGTAAGAATTAATCTAGTTTAAAGCTGAAGAAAGCATCATGCATCAAGAGGCCTCTGTGAAGGAGGTAACTTTTAGAAATGCAAGGTGATATTCAGAATATGCACTGTAGAAACAAATAAGTTGTGCTTTGCATTATGCAAAGCAGAGGAAAGAAAAGATGAGGAACTGCAAAGAGACAGAATAATTTGTGAGAGTGAAGGCAGCTGGGAGACAGCACTATGGCTTTACAGAATTTATTTGTAAGACTTGTTGGATATAAGGCTAGTCATTCTGAGCTATGTCCAAAATAATTTAATAGAAACATACAAGATCCATTTATAAGTCAGTGCAAAAGACCTGGCATTTTCTGTATTAATATAATTACAGGCACTAATACCTTGAAAAACACTAAATCCATCTTTGATCCTCTGATGGTTTCATTGTACTGTTGCATGAACACCTGTAATCTTTCAGCTAAATAATCCAAAGATGGGATAGGCTCATAAATTTTAGGAGCCTTCAACTCTGCATCATCAGCTTCGTCTCCAATAGCTTCTGGGATATCACGCAAAAAATCTACAAAGTATAATTCTGTGGATTTATCTTCAAATAGATTTTGACCATGTTCTGCAGAAGCAATCTACAACAATACATTAAGGATTGTTTTAGTAATGAAACATAAACATTTAATTGACCTCTTTCCATGGCACGTACTGGAAAACTATTTGCCTACCTTTTTCATCATATCATCAAACCAGTCTTTATCACTTTGGCTGATGAATCTGTCTGCAATAACACGTCTGCATTCATGCTGGAACAAGGCTACCAAAACACTGATGCTCTGGCAGACTTCAGAAGTAACTGTAAGTATTCCTTGCCAAATACGACTGAGGTCTCGCAAATTAAAGATGTAATGAAATTTAGATGGAGTTGGTAACATCTACAAAATAATGTCATAAGCTATATTCAAATAACTACTAAATAAAAATATTTTCTAACTAGTATTAAATTAATATAGAAATTTTCACAAACTTCAAAAGCAATATTGCATTAAAGTAGGAATACATGCTTGGCATTTGAGAAACAATGGTAAAAACAAAGAAATGACAGTAGCAATGACCAGCTCTTTAATTTCACGCAGATTTCACTCAAGTGTCTTTGAATCTTTCAGGTCCCAGGAACATGGACTGAAGGGTAGTCAAGACAGGTTAGTTAACGATGGCATTAAAGGCCACAGTAAAAATATCAGCATTATTTAACCTGTGGTGTTGCTCTTGCCTTTTCTTCCAGATTGCTTTCTTTTGTCCTTTCCAAGAACATGTGAAGAAAGTTTCATGAGGAAAGGAAAAGCAGATGAGGAAAAGCAAAGAAAAGACAGCAGAAAAATGAGAAAAGATTATTTGAAAAAAAATGAACAACTTAGCAAAAGCCACATTTTCTCTCTAGGCAGTTAATTAGCAATAATAACCATCATTTATGTTGAAGACACTGGTCAATAGTTGGCTGGTCAATAGTTTCTCTAGAACTCTCTCTTCTCTGTGTAAACCCAGCTTATGTTTACAGTTGAGTTGTCTGGGAAATTCCTACTAACCTTTTTTGGACTAGAAAGGATCATTTACCAAATGCCTGCCTTTCCTCCTCTTTCCACCACTCTTCTCCACTTTTTTCATTAGAAGATCAATTCGGCACACATTTCCATGCTGTAATTTTGCTCTTAACTTTTCAAATTTCATTCTACATATAAATTTTATTTTCTATTTCAAAGTAATATTTGCTTAGGAATTGCAATTTGTTTGAAATGGAAGAGGAAAATATTTAAATTTACTAAATACCAGGTTTTGGTTGTTTTGAACTGATTCCCTCTCCATCACATTTGACTTCTTTCCTTTATTTCAGATCTTTAAAGTTTCTCACAATCCCAAATGTCTTGACAGAAGAATCCCATCTAATTTTTAATGTATGGTTCCTTATGCCCTTGACATTTTCTCAACTAGAAGACCTCTAAATCTTCCTATCAGCTATGCTTACTTTATTATACTTATATGATGTAATTCTTATATTAGCTTTAGAAGGCACTGCATATGATTATGTTTTCAGTCAGCTAACTAGGTGCTGATAGCAACAAATTCAGAACACAAGCATCAGCCAGGAGTTATACATGCAGGTCACAGCTTCACAAAATGAAGTATGAACACACATGACAGTATAAAAGACCTGTGTCTTGTTGCTTTGTCATGGTACAGATGTTTCAAAGGCTTCTTAACAGAGGTAATTTTACCTTTGCTTTTGTTGTTTGCCAAACCTTTCGAGTTGTAGATACTAATGCTGAAGCCAATTTACATATTTCTGCAGGGAAACCTCGTTGTTCACAGAAATAGCTTTCAGCTATTGTTTGAAATATTTTGTCAATAGAGGAACTGGAAGGCAGTGTGCAGTTGTAGATGGTGAACTGGCGTTTCAGGCGCTGTGGGATGTCATTCCGACCTCCCCCAGGGTGAATCATAGCAGCTATAAACTGGATGTCAATCACATTTGTGAACTCTCCTGGCTTCTCCAAATTGTAGAAACCTTTCTGTTCCATCAGCTGTCTTACAATCTCGTTGGTGATCTAGTTATTGTCAAAAAATAAAGAAACAGAGTAGTTAAGTATTTCAGGGTTCTCAACTTAAAAAAAGGAAAGAGGAAGTTTCCAGTATAATAAATTAGTAGACAGAAGGAAAGAACTCTCATCTTTCTTAAATTCCAAGTATTCTCCTGGGCACTTCAGCAATTTATAGAGCTGTGCAACATGGTACCAAGCACTGTGATGCAGTGGATTAGTTGCATCTAAGTTTCACATGCTAAGTAGTGGTGGACATGAGGTCAGACATTCAACTGGATTTCCATATTAATTTAAAAATACTCAGCACTTTAAAGTTTCAAGCCAGACTGTATATTCAGATTGACACAGGCACTTAGGTAGTGACAAAGAATGGTTAGCTTTAGCACATAGTCACACACTCACTTGTATAGAGGCAGCGAGAGAACAGGATTACAGAGCAATACTGGGAACAGCAAAATTACTTTTTCTCAGCAGTAAGTTTTTTGAATTTAAGTCAGATTTTCAGAATATAGGTCTATAAGTATTCATTTATCAATACCTCAAGATATCTCGCTAGTCTTGGATGTCAACTGTGATGTTAAACTTCACCTAGTAGTGACTGTACTTTAAAGTCCAGAGCAGACAGAAGAAGGAAAGAGTCTCTGCTTCTTGGATTTGTATGCTTCCTTTCCCAGATTGGTTCTTAGTGCAGCTAGTTTGGAAATTCTGCAAGCTCTGTATGTAGCCAAAACAAAAGGCTTAAAAGATACAATGATTGCACCAAGTGCCTTGATGCTGACCATAATCTTGTGGGATGGACAGTTTATCACTCTTGGCAAAAACTTGGTCTAGTCCATATTATGATACCCTTTTCCTAAACTTTCCTATTTTTACAACCTAGAGATGAGAATTTCCATCAGCAGTAATGGTTAAACCACCAATTCCCAAATATTAACGTTTTCCTTTTACCTGATCACCCCATTCATTTATCACAGGCATGTTGATGTCATCAATAAAGACAGTCATTTTCTTCCCTGCTGGAGGACCATACGTGGTGCCCATTCTTTTATCTATGTAACTTTCTATGCTCCTCTGGAACATATTTGGCAGAGTTGCAGAAGAAAAGTTTAGACGTTTGGTCAAGTGAACATCAGGATCATACTTGCTTGTGTAATCCTGCAAAATAAATCAATTTTAAGTAAAGTGCACCAGTAACCCCAGATGAATTTAGCCAAAAGGAGATGCAGATGCTCAGTAGCCCTGCAAAAAACAGACATCTACAAAATCTCAGCCCTGCTATTAACTTCAAAAAGTCAAACAGCAGTTTATTTAAGATAAATATACCATCTCCAACCTCTCGGTTAATGTTTTGCATAAAGTTTCTAAGTATTAAAATTTATAAGCTTTTAACAGACTTACTGTAACAACAAGTAGACTTGACAACTCAGGATGCAAATAAACTTTGCATTAGCAATTGTTAGGGTTTTTCTAAATTCAAGCTGTTAGTGATGATGTGTTACAACAGTCTGCAAGGAACAAGTGAAAAACTAGATCTTTTTTCGTGTTTACACTACAGCACCATATCTTACAACAAAAGGACTGTAAAGGAATGGTAGTATAAAATTAAACTCAGCTACGTTGCATTTACTAATATTTATCTCTCTTAATAAAGAAAGGAATCTTTAGGTTTTACGAAGGCATACAATTCCCATAGCTGCTGCTGATGCCCTAAAGCAAGTTCCACTTTTCAGATTTAGTGAGGCTTTATAATAGAACCGGAAAGAAAAAGAAGTAACCCTGAAGTCACACCAAGGCATATATATAAAACATGGGAAATATTTTGTTTAGCAAGAGTCCTAGGACATAAAAGTAGTATTAAAAATTCCAGATTTACAACATTATTTCTTTTTAAAGACTCAGTTCTTCTGCAATGATGACAAAGTTCAATATCATTTACATTCTTATCTTTATAATAGAGCTGACTAGAAATGTACTCATTTTGATACCTCAGAAAAATAAACCTGTATCATTGCTGATTAAGTGCTCTAAGAACAACTCCAGTGAGACATACAGTCTGTGTGACAATAGAAAGGAAGATACAGCTAAACCCCCTCAAAATATTTTGATGAATAGTGTTAAACTGCTCATTTTGTTGATATAATGTTGATAAAACAACATATCAGGCTGAGGCCTGTGGAGAGGAGTCGATGCAGGAGCAGGTTTTCTGGCAGGAACTACAGCCCATGGGGGACCCATGCTGGAGCAGTCCATTCCTGAAGGTCTGTGTCCCATGGAAAGGACCCATGCTGGAGCAGTTTGTGAATGACTGCATCAGATGGAAGGGACTCCATGAGGCAGCAGAGAGAGTGTGGGAAGGAAGGAGCAGCAGAGAGAAGCCGTTATGGACTGACCATAGCCCCTATTCCCCATCTCCCTTGTGCCGCTCGGGGTGCAAGGAGGTAGAGGAGTTGGGAGTGAAGGTAAGCCTGGGAAGAAGGGAGAGGTGAGAGGTGGGTGTTCTTAGTATTTTCTTTGCTTTTCACAATCCTATTATATTTTTAATTAACAATAAATTATATTAATTTTCCCCAAGTCGAGTCTGTTTTGCCCTTGACAGTAATTGGTGAGTGATCTCCCTGTTCTTCTCTCAACCTGTGTCCTGTTGAGGAAGGGGAGGGAACCAACGCCTGGGTGGGGGTCTTGCAGCCAGCCAAAGTCAACCCACCACAAGTATGAATATATAATCATTCAAAAAACACACTTGTGTTTTATTCCTCACAGGATTTCAAAAATCTTTACATGGTAACAGTACTATTCCACAGTACATAAATGAGAACTATCTTTGAACAAGAAGAGGTTATGTAATGGGATTATTTTTGTTAGTTAAACTGTCAGATTCTCAGTGCAATTTTCAACTCTACCATACCAGCTTCACATTAAATTCTGGGGGGTTTGCAGTTCATTAATTAATAGTACAGAGAGTAAAGGTCTTAAGTAGCACTCTGTTGTAAGTTCTTTATTTTAATATGCACTGATACCTTACTCAATACTGAAGATTACTTCAGACTAATTCAGATTACTACCTGAAGTGTCTTTACTTTTTCATGAAACCAGATGCTTCTATCTAGAAATTTTTTTCCATTGAGGTGTAGTAAAGCAAAATTCTACAGAAGGTGAAAGCAGAAGTGGAACAGTTGTGAAGGCAGTTAACTTTCACTCCTAACCTTAAATGAGATCAAATATCTACTGGCATTATGCTCCCTTGTGTAAGGAACATACTCTGCTCTATAGAATAGACATGGGGTAAGCAAATCCCAGCTCCAATTATTTTTAGGCACAGGAATGGCAGCTGAAGGCTGGAGGTTGCCAGTATCTGGCCAAAATCCAGTATGCAGAACATCAAGACCACCACCCAGACCCCGCCTCTTCACTCTGCTAAAATAGTTCTCCAGCTGGTGCCAGGAACAGAAGCTGACATTACACTGGCATGCACGTTGGCATCGAGAGCTAAATTGAAAAAGTAGTATTAATGGCTGCTGGCATTGGTACAACTTGCTTTATGTCAGGGCTCGGAAAGCACGTGGCTGAGGGACACAAAATGGCTCCAGATTTTAAGAAAGCCAAAGGTCAATTTAGGCCAGTGTTTTTCAGTTATTTTCAATTTCAAGACCTTTGCAAATCATCCACAGGAGGTACAGATGCCTGTATGGTAAATTCAACTGTCCCAACAGCAGATTATTTTTATTTAACTGCCTCTCATTGATCAAAGAGTCTACAGAATCTCCTGAAAATCCAGACATGATGCTGAAAACCATTACACTTGCACAAGGGATGCTAAATTTGGTATGACATCTAGGTTTGTTCAGCCTTTTGATTATTGTCACTTCTGTAGTAAGTTATTAATTTTTGTGTCATATGATTAACCTGCACTATTTTATAATATGGCAAGCATCTTGTTATTATTTTCTTCTACAGAAAGAACAATATGTCATATTCTGTGAAGGAATGAAGAGAGTAGATAATAAACACTGAATTTACCCTCTGAAAAATTACCCTGAGTAAAGAAAGAAGTTCTTTATTTCTCCTCAGTTTGGCTTGTGAAGAAAGTCTGTGCAACAAAGGTGTAGAAAAGATCAGTTCACACATGGCACCACCAACAGAGCACAGGGAAATGAAAAATCCTCCAGGGATCAGTACTTTCTTAGCAAAATCTCCAGTTTGACTTTGTGGTGGTTTGGGTGGATTCACCCTTTTGCTTGCAGCTTGCAGCCAAACACAGCCTGCTCTATCACCCTCCTCCCCCCCTCACCCAGGGAGCAGGGGAGAGAATTTGGGAAGAAGGGCAAGGACTCATGGGTTGAGATAAAAACTATTTACTAATTAAAATAAAAAATGATAATGATAACAACAGTGATAACAGACTGTACAAATGAGTGATACACAGTGCTCACCGCCCACTGACCAATTCCCAGCCTGTGCCAGCTAACGATCCCGCAGCCGAGACGGTCCCGAACCGAAACCCCGGAAGAGTGAGCCCGAGCGATCCCCGAGAGAAGTGCCCTGTCTTCCGGTCATCCCTGGTTAATATACTGGCATGACGTGATATGATCTGGAATATTTAATTGGCACAACCAGATGCCAGGTTTGGGTTTTGCTCCTCACTGCGCTTCCCCCTCCCAGTCCTAATGCAGCTGTGAAGTAGCAGAACAAGGTGGCCTTGAGCTCCAGCAACACAAGTATTGTTATCAAAGTTCTTACGATATGTCTGAACTGAAACACTGAAAGTAAAATACAGCTCTTCTAATTACTAAAAAGAAAATTAACTCTACCCTAGCAAAACCAGGACAGACTTCTCAAAAGAAAAGAAAGCATAAGAAGGAGCATTTATCACATGACCTTGTGGCTATAGTTAGCAAAGTTTAAAAGAACTCTTTATACTAAAGTATAGATATAGGTTTTTGCTTGTAGACCATGTGAGTACTGGCAAAAGAATGTTGGTATGCAATCTTAAGAGAAATCAAATTATTCTTACACTTCAATTTAAACTAGATTGGAAGGGGGAAGGGGATA